AGTACTTCACACTACATGCCGCGTGAGATTTCAGATCCATTACATACTGCACTGCGCCTAGGGGAGATGCATAAGGACGTCTTTCACAATGGCTCCGTTATATTGTAATAATAGTTAGTAATATTAATCTGGACAATGGTCAAATTAGTGTGACAATTCTAAAGATCATGGGCAGAGAGGCTTGATTATTTCCGATGGCTTTCCTAAATCTGTCAGCTCTGATCCTCAGTGATCTACGGGCCTGGCGGAAGTAAATCCACTTACAATCTCCACCATTTTTGAGACTGCATACTTCTAATCCCTTTTTAACATCTTGCATAACTAACTGCTTCAAGTGCTGTCTTTGGAGACAAACACATCAGAATTGTGAATTTCCTAAAAACAGGTTCTTCTGCTACACATGTGACTGCAAGAGCGAAACGTTACTTTTAGCCGGTTGAAGTTTGAAAAGTAATGCTGCAAGTCGACACTTCAAAATTCTGGCCGTAAAACACCCACTTTTGATGGGTCATTTGTGGATATTCTGCTCCAGTTATAAAACTGGCATGAAGAGGAAAATACGAGGATGACAGGAGTGAGTGAATGGAGTGAAGACTGTAATGAGTCATCTCCACTGTAAGGCTTTGAAAAGATTCATCAACGTACGGCAGACATAGATTTTGCCATCGCTGTCACAAAGCCGGTTGGTCGACTGTCTGATCGATATTTCAGCTGATACGACCAAAACGGGAACAGAAAAAGCCCGATGTTTCGCCGAAAGTAAACACAGGAAAGACCTGAAACCGTGTCCCATCTGTTCGATCCACGTGCTTCTGTTTTTACCCGTGTCAACGGCACGAAATATATGACAAACAAGATAAAAGGACTCAGGGCTGAAGAAGAAACCACGTACAAATTTTAGATGTCACTGGTGCCGTGACTTAACAAGGGTCCGCGGTTCTGTGAACGTAGCTGTTTGCATAACTGCAGTACGAGTTACAAGAGAGGGATTGCGAATCTGTGCTGAAGTACTGAGGTTTTTCTGATTCCATTCAAAGAGTAAACTTTGAAGCTACAGGCAGATAATGTTTTTTGTCGCGTAAATTCATAAATACCTAAATGATAACAAGCTATAAAATCAGAAATTATTAGCCTCAGGCAGATTTGGCTTTGTACTCGCACCGATCGCATTGTTCAGCTATTTTGCCATGACCGGACTGGTTGTGCTGCTGTTTTTCGACCTATTCGCAAAGGGTGGTCAAACATCACCCAATCGTACGCAGAGTGGTTCCTGTTATTGTGATTCGATGCGCTTACAACAGACCAGTACGGAGCCCAAACTCGAATGTGCTTGCTTCGGACAGGAACTAGTTGCCGTACCACAGAATCTGGGTCGCACATTATCTTTTCTGTAAGAACTTCATTTATCTACGTGAAGTATGTAATTACATCTCAGTGCCACAGTTCTCAACATTTATATGTTGCTTGCACAGATCAGCATGAAATGAATTACATAATCTTCATCGAGTTTGTACACATAGAAAACGATTAATAAATAATTACATAATGTTTATGAAAACGTTTTGAAAACTATGTCCTAGGCGAAACAAATAACAGCATTACAAATAACCTACGTGTCCAATAACATAAGCCTAAGCGAGTCTGCATCAAATAACGTTTTCAGGTTAAAGAGCCATAAGTCTTGCCATGAGCGTGGAGTTAGCTCTAGCCATAACTTCCAATTAGCACACAAACGCGTCTTTTCCCTCTGTCTTACACAATGATGCGGTACTGCATCCACGCTTGATGGGTGCTCAAATGCTGTGACTCCGTTAAATGTTTTCTCTAGACACATAGAAGCAAGGAGGCGATGAGCTACTGCAGTAAAAGCACTCGTAAATATAAGACATCGTATGAGAGAAGCATTAGGAATGTAGAGCAAGTTGCAATATTTGGTTTTGGACGGCTACGTCGTATTTGGAATGAAACACATTGGACCTCTGCTTAAGGCATTATCCTGACGCGATCAGGAACTACTGTAGAAAGCGTTAGTCTCGACGTCGAGTACGAAAATTTGGGATACCAACGGAAGAATTTCTCCATAATCAATCGTCAGTGTCTTCGTCACGAACGAAAGTGTGAGGTAGCAAGAAAGAGTGAAGTGCAGTTGAGAGAACATTCCGGAATCGCAATGGCAGCCTTGAAGGTTACACTAGAATCTCAAAAATGAGGCGTTGGTAGCCGAAGCAGAAAAATGCTTTTACGCCACAAGCAATGACTATACAAGTGTAGGAGCCCGTCAACCGATTGCCTGTAATGAGGTTTTGCCCTATCAGTGGCTCCAGGATTTGTTAATGAATGAAGAAATGTGCCATGTGATGCGCCACACTGTCTGCATCTAAGGCTTAATTCAACATCAGTACAAAACGTCCAACCTCTATAATCTTTAGCAAAGCATCTATCACCATCCGCGTTATCGATCCTCAAAATTTAATCTTTCCTCTCAAAGCGGGATTGGCCATTTGACACGGTTTTCGAGCGCGGATCCGCTTACACCTACGGTCCTTTAAACGGCGAAACATGTCGTTGAGCTCATACCAATGTGCGGTGCTATGCCCGCATATGGTGTTATCACTAATCAATCTATTATGGCCACGGGTTGCATTCGGACAGCGAGCCATTGATACATCAAAAATACAATCATACACCGAAGCATATTAAATGGCATATGACTCATTCTGTACCAGATTTTAGGGTGCATTGCACGATTCCCTTGCTCCTAGTAGCCTGAGAACGTCTGAATAGCTAGATGCATGTTGCATCATACGAGTGCGGAGGAATTAAGCGCAGTTTAAAACACACCGGCGAGTGATCGGATTTGACGATTAGCATGTATGTGCAGCATGTGCCATTTTATGATTCATCCATCATGAGGATAATGAGGAGTGACTGCGTCAAGCATCTCATGTACATGCGACCCCATATTTCGGTTACTGTCTTCAGCCTGGTCCAAAGTCGAATTTAATTAAGTATTATACTCCTTATTTGACATTAAGCTGATCGATCACTGCTACACTTATACATTCAACTTTTAACGATATAGTTAACTATGTTTAATCTACAGTACGCTATTCGACACCAGAATCGTGGAACTTCGATCGACAGACTTTGCCCGATATTCACATCTGGAAATCCTGTAAGTGAATACTAGGCCACTTACAAATCTGATCAATAATTTCAGGGTTATCACAAAATGCCATCATCTTCGAACGGTACAAAGCGCTGCGTTCACCGTGTTGAAAGAGCTCAGAAAGCTGTAAAATACTTTCTGCTAAGACTACGACTGCATGCCAATGCTTCATCTTTAGCTCAATATCCAGTTGTCCTTCTTTGACTGAAATCAAGGGACGGTTTTTGTTACATCACAGAAAATTGCTGACAGTGTAACTTTACGCTTTGGACAAAACAAAATCCAATTTATCTGAATAAGAGCCCGTTTAGATCATTGAGAAATAACGGGATCAGAAAAATGCCTATGTTTTATGCACCGACTATTAACAACCGCATCGCCACGGAAACAGCCCCAGATATGTAAGTACTTTCTAGAGTAATAGGTATTTAAAAAAATTTTTTTTAGGATTTTAGCACAGTTTTGAATTAAACTTTACAAATATAAGTCAATTTAAATACATATTTTCATTTAATTATTCATACAGTTTAGGTTAGACTCACGGAGTGCGCAACTACTATTGAATCCTATTGAATTCAATATCTTATAATTATCATATTATATATCTTCCTTACTATTTGGATCATAATTAAAAACGAATGTTCAGGATTAAGACATGAATTCATGGAAAGCAAAACCCCTTGATTTTTTCTTGGGTCAACTTCTTTTCTCTAGTCAATTTACCGAAAAGGCGGTATAATCGGTCTTTCGTATTTTCAATTGGTTACAAACCTCCAACTTTAATAATAAGCTTCTTGATTTTCAATATGCGACAATAATTGACAGATTATTAGCAAGGTACTGAACACTTACTAGCAAATCTGCGATATGTAATAAATTATTTTGGGATTGCCATGAAACAGTACCATCTGTTTTCAGTGATTTATCTTACAACGAATTGGAAGAAATTGGCACTGAATCGATATATTCTTCGTCCATCTCTTCGCTGTAGGTCACGCGCATTTTAGTAACACAATTTCAGAAATGCTGCATGAATGTTTTAGGGTGCTAAGCAACAATCGGATCAAAAAAGTGGACGGTTTTGCATTCCAGCATTCAAGAATAGGAGCTTTGTAAAGAGCATTGACCAAGGAAACTTATTACTGATTTTCGTGTACAGGAAACTGAACAACAACCCGATAGAAAAAATAAGCGAAAACGCTTTCGCCAGAATGGAGTACCTCGGAAGACTGTAAGACCTCCTTTTACTTTAGGTAAATTTTGAGCCATAAACGTACATAATTTTTTTCACCTTTGCCAGTGACCTTTCTGGTACCAAGATTACGGAGCTACCTGAGCATGGGCTGAAGGAAGTAGAAGTGCTGACAATAAAAGACACGCCCAGCTTAAAGATTCTGCCTTCCATATTTGCCTTAATGCACCTGAAGAAGGCAGAGCTGACGTACCCGTACCACTGTTGTCTGTTCAAGGTATGTGGCTGTTGTTTGGTAGTAAAAGATGCGATGCACAGTACACAAGATACGTCTAACGATATTTCAGCCAACATTAACAGATTTACACGGCGCAGTATACCATCCTACCATCCCTGTGTTTCTTGTGTCCCAGGGGATCGAACTGATGGCTCTATGGCATTTTAGCACCTGTAGTGCATATATGAAAAACAGACCGAAGAGAGGAATAGGCATATATAACAAAAATAAAGCCTTCAGCATTCAATAACGCCTTTACTAGAAACAAAGGGACGTGCGCTGCGTGGCGCAAATTCAGAGAAAAGACAGAAAAATATTATTCTTACCAGCGTTGTCGAAAGCCAGCAGTATGTAAGGAAATCAAAATAATGGGGTTTATTTTTGATACCTCACATAATCTGAGTTAAGCTTATTTGTTCATTTAAGTTGTTCATCTCCTTAGATAAAATTTTGGATGATACCACTGAATTCATCGGTCGATACTCAGAATGAGAACGCCTTATTTCATATACTACCAAGCTGATGAAGAGAACATGGATTTCCAGCGAAGATGGCATTTCGGTAAAACCCACCTACTCAACTGATCAGGTTATCAACGCGTGGGAAATGGTACCATACAAAACGCTAAGAACATATAATATGGATCTATAAAAAATAACTACAATGTACTAGGGCCGTCATCACCTTGCAGCTTTCCAATTTTACCGATGATCATGACATTTCAATTTCTGGTACCTATACCGGACTTTCTTGGCATAAGCGCACAGAGTCTCCATGTTTTGAATCCCCCTGTGAGAATCATTGAAGAAAGCCACAGCTCCAAATGAAAATATGAATACTAACCGCCACTTAAAAAGTCATTCTTCAAGGAAATACTGAAGACCAGACTTCAAGGCAGAATAGGCGCTAGAGGGACTAAATCCATTTTTGGTGTCATGTTGTTCAGAAGGTTGCTCAAACTGTCCTTCAGAATATTATGAATGCACATAGTCATCACATCTGAGGTTACGATGATGAGGAAGAGAATGAAGTCCCCTACATTTCTTCATGTACACGTTAATTATTACTGATTTAACTACTGAGACCATCATTACTTCGAATCTTTACTAATACGTGATTCGGTTGAATAAAAATGAGGCGCTGACTAAGCGGATTTACACTAATAGCATTCTTTTGGGTTCTTACTTGCTAGAAGCAATAGTAGGGTCGAAAATTTCCTTTGCGTTGTCTTCCTCATGGCTATCGATGTTGCAGCATTCGGTAAATGAACTGAAGCGAGATCAGAGTTCAGTGCATCAAGAAAACCTGCACGAAATAAGGCGACTCTACTGCAAAAGTCACCCGGACACCAAAAAGGTCGAAGCCAGAACGGAACACCGAGGCAAACGTTTCGTCACAGATCTTCAGCAGGTGTCATTTGATTGGTATGTAGATTTGTAATAAAAAAAATACTTTTTTGCAGTACGGAAGCCGTCACGCTGAATGGGGGGAATTTGACAACCCGTCGTTCGAATATCTGACCGATACCGATGAGGAGGTGTATGACGACATCGGCGAGACTATAGTAGCCAATCAGTTCCTGTCCAGCGAAATTTGGTTCAGCGATGCTCTGCCGGATCCGGGCGTTTTGAAGCCGGACGTGGTCTGTGACGAACAAGATGATGCGCAGGTGATTCGGTACTACACGAGTATCGAGTGTTCCCCGATGCCGGACGCGCTCAACCCGTGCGAAGACATCACCGGAAGCACCGTTCTGCGGACGCTGATCTGGCTGGTGTGGACGGTGGCCATTTTCGCTAATCTGTCTGCTTTGGCGACGCTGGTGATCTGCAATCCGTGCAAGGCCACAGCGACGCGGTTGCTGCTCGTCAACCTGGCGCTCGCCGACTTCCTCATGGGACTGTACCTGGCCATCATATCTGTTCAGGACGTGCGCACCGCCCAACATTACTACAATTTCGCCGTCGACTGGCAGACCGGATTTGGATGCAAATTCTGCGGCTTTCTTGCCACGTTCTCCAGCGAGCTGTCGGTCGTCGTCTTGACTCTGCTTTCATTCGAGGTGAACTGCTTTTCGTATAGGTGTCTGAAAGCTACCATGGCCATGGGAGCATTTCCATTCAAAGGGCGTCACTCGTAAATGATTAGGTCAGACAGCACAGTCAATGGAGTTTGCAGATTACGGGTTCGATTTCTGGGCCACGTTGCTCTCTTCTTACAGTTCGAGGCAAACTGTTGTCTTCTGATTCGAGAAAATGAAAACAGACTACTTCTTGTGCTTGCCATATGGCTATATACGCAACTGGGCCTCATACGTTACACAAGACAGGTTGACCAGTGGTAGCTTCATTGAAACAAATCGATCAATTTTTCTCCTAATAATTTGTGGTATCGTCACAAATCATGTGATATTTTCGGTGTCTTATGGACACAGTTCATCCTTCCTTCGATCTGTCCGCATCTGGTGGGGGTATGAACGCAATTCGACACACATCGAATCTGTTCTCTGCTCGAGCGTTTTGTGGCAGGCAATAGTTCAGTAATTCATGTCGGGTGCCCACGACATCAAACTCCGCCCATCTCCATCCCTCAACCTTAAGATTGGGGTTGTTCAGTCAGTGGAGCGTTGGACTAGCGACCAAGAGACCCCAGGTTCAAGCTCCGGTCGGGTCACTTTCTCTGAAATTGATAAATGATTGCCACTGGATGGGAAGGAGACGTGAGACTGCAAATCATGATAGCCACGTATCTGATCATAAACGTTTTTTAACCCTCCTTTCCTAACCCCATCCTACCTAACGGATTTAGAAAATTCGAACACTTCATGAGGTTTTGGTCATGGACTCATTTGACTGACGAGTGGTGAGCAGAATCCACCTAATGGAGGGGGCTCCTGCACGACTTTCATGTGCTCATTTTAGTTGGACATGGATAGGCCATTTGATGTTTATAAGTTCTCTTCAATTTTCGTGTTAGTCCCAGTGAAAAATGGCAAAACTCATCGACGATGCAAACGGCAATGGCTTTAGTCTTTAAATCGACTTCAAGCCCCGCGTACTCCAAAGTTGCTTTAACAAATTTCGTTGAGCAAATTTGTCGGGGGCGCTAAGTCAAAACGACAATCTCTTTCCATCAAATTGAAAATGGAATAAATCAAATATCCTTTTTGATGACAATTGTCTTTTTCATTCCCCAACTCATAATAGTATTACGGAAATTTAGCATCTTTCCTCGAGACACAAAAAGGATATTAAAATTAAAGACGCGTTTTGTTTCTGTTTAACTCGTAACTCATCGAGTAAATGCGTCATTCGACTTCTCCTCATTGTGGATCCGCTATGAACGTACCCGAAGAACTGGCGGTATTCTCTATTCTCCGATCTCTGTCTCCACTGATGGCCTAGTTTTTTGGCCATCGGATCGTTCCAGCGTGTTTTTGGAGGACCAAATGTACGTTCGGTAACCCAGTTTAGAATCCTTGGCATTGATCGGATATATTTAGGGGAGCCATCTAGTCGGCCTATTTTTTCTTGACACCGCACAAAACCAAAATCCCGCCTGTTAACACAGCCCATTGTCAAATTTAAGCGC